GCCCCCGCGCGCCCCCTCGGTGCGGAACGGAGCGGAGAGGGGGGCGCAGAGCGGGGCGGCGGGTGCTGCTCTCCGCGCGGCCGTTATCCGGAGGGGAAACGTTAAATGGAAGGGAGAAAAAACGCCTCGAGTACCAAAGTCTTTCCGTTTTCCTTCGAGGAAGTGAAGCAAGACAAAGGAGCAGCCGGAGTTGCCAAAGATGACTAAGCACTTATCACCTCCAAGTCCTAGTTACTTTGTTTTGTTTGTTTATTTGTTTGCTTTTTCCCTCTCGGGGTTTGGTACCAGTTGCATAGAGTGGTCCCATAGGATGCGCGCACCTCCCAGAGCATGGCCTTTCCAAACCCGCATACTGTGCTAAGATGCGCTCTTTTGTTTCCCCCTTGTAGGTCAATGTTGGTTGCGTCCCCAAAAAGGTAAGGGCAGTTTTTGCTGTTGTTTCCACCTTGCCCGAGCGCTTGCAGCACTTCAGCCTTGGATTTGTTTTGGCACCGGCGCTTGTGCACTGGTACGAAGCCAAAGCCGTAGGAGGGAGGCCACGGAGGAGCCTTCCTGGACTCCTTGCGCGCCCGGGGCTTTGCAGGCGGATGATTCAGAGGGCAAACCCGTCTCATAGACTTTCTGTCTCCTGCGTGCTTGCACCGGAGCAGGATGTCGAGGCAGAATCCGATGCCCGAGTTGCTTTTCTTAGAGGTCCCATCGCATGTGCTCAGCTCTGCAGCCCTCACGAGTGGGTTGTAGGATCAGGGTCGCTGACCACAGTCCTTTTGCAAGGATTACGTGCACCTCTGCCCTGCAGCTGAGCTAAAAGCCCTGACGTCTGTGCCCCAGCACAAGCCCGTGGAGGAAAATGTATCAGGCTGCGTCTAAAGGGGTGTTTGAGGGCAGTGGGAGTGGGGCCGTCTTCATGTGTGGCTTTTCTGGAAATCGGATCGTCCCTCTGGATTAGCCCTGGCTGTCCCAAACGCAGCGCTGGGGGCTGCCCGTGCTGAGCGAGCTCCTCTCCGCGCGCAGGTGATGTGGAACACGGCGGTGCACGCAGAGTTCATCCACGATCACGCCGATTACGGCTTCGAAGTGGCTGGCAGCAGATTTAACTGGAGGTGAGCTCGGGAGCGCCCTGTTTGCCTTCCTACGTGCGCTCCTCTGCAAGCGTTTTGCTGCGTTTGTGCCCGCTGGCAACCTTGTCCCGCGGTGTCGGGCCCTGCAATGGGGAGGCCTCAGGCCCATCCTCTCCGGGAAGCAGTGGTTGGGCGCCTGCTGCTCAGTGCTGCATCCCCATGGCAGGAATGAGCGACCAGCTCGTGCTTTGCACAGAGCTGTGCCTTGAGGCTCGCTGTGGACGGATGCTGAGCTTGCTTTGCAGCAGAGCGGTGATCTGTCGCTTGTGTAGTGAACGTAAACTTCTTTGTTATAGAACTATTAAAGATAAACGTGATGCTTATGTGAGACGCCTGAATGAGATCTATGAAAATAATGTCAGCAGGGTGAGTGCATTTTTATTCCATGACCCTTGTCTGGAATCGGTCTCCTTTTCCTTCCAGCGCCATGAGAACTTCTCTGAGATTTTGATTTGAGCTTCTGTTTTGCATTTACTGGTCCAGTAACTAGAAATTGTCCCCGTGGGATCAGTGTGAGAGTGAGGGCCTGTTCTGAACAGTCGGTTGCTCTAGGAACTCTTCCTCTACAAAGCAGAGCAGGGAAACTATTTGGTGTCCAGTCCCAGAAGCTGACCTACTTGTAGCTCTCTGGAAAGTTACTGTGGCTTTGGAGACAGCTTGACAGACTGAAAAAGAGGGGAGATAATGGCTTAACTTGGAGAGGGGTTTTGGAGTGTCAAACATCTGTTGGGATATTGCATGGCATTTGTCACTCACTGCACTGTTCCCAGGAATGGACATTTCCAGCTTTACAGACTTTTTCATCTACCTTTTGTAGCTGGGCAACACGTAGGCAGGAAGGATTTGTTAGTTGGCTCTAGCATCTAGTTCTCTGGTTAATAAAATAACTGTATTTCCTACAATTATTTCCTAGGCGCGCATTGACATCATTCGTGGCTATGGAAAGTTTACAGCTGATCCAGAGCCTACAGTTGAAGTCAATGGTAAAAGGTACACGGCTCCTCACATCCTTATCGCTACCGGCGGGCAGCCTTCAGTCCCTCTTGAAAGCGAAATTCCCGGTAAGTCTTTGCACGGTGCAAGAGATGTTCCAGTGGGCAGTAAGTGCACACTTGCTGTGACGGGAGCGCAAGTTGCCTTTGCTTTGCAGGTGCCCATCTGGGTATCACCAGCGATGGCTTCTTTGATCTGGAGGAGCTGCCCAGGTAAAGTGGAGCTCTCCCTCCAGCCAGCGAGCCTGGGAGCAGGGAGGTGGTACCCAGTGCTCGGTGACTTCTCGGTGTCTCTGGGATGGTTCTTCTTGCGGGCTTGTGCTGGTCCTTTTGGCTTGCCTTGGCTCTGCCCCGGAGCTGGGTGGCTGCCTGGGTCTCCCGTTTTACAGGGCTCAACCGACTGTGCTATCTCGGATGAGCTGTTCTCAATTGCTGTTCTTGGGAGCACCCCCGGGTGCCTCCCTGCATTTTGGATGGAGGATAAATGACCATGTTTTTAAGGCCTGGGCATTGTCAGCCCTTGCCTGGCGGGTCACAGCACCTCCGGATGACGCCAGGATAACGTTCCTGCCTGAGTGCAATGTGCCAGCTTCTGCTTGCAGCCCCTCTGGCCTGCTCCAGGCACTGCTCTTCCTCTTTTCTGTGCTTGCCCTGGGGGAGGGAAGGTGACAGTGTCATTTCAGGAAGCCACAGGGATGCGAGTCAGCTCGGTCACGACCACAACGCTAGAAACCACTGTGTTGCAAGGTGGTAGAAGCACAGCATGGTCAGCACCCGAGTTGGTAGCCTTGTTGGTGAAACAGCAAGTTTGTGTTGTGAGCACCAGGCAGCTCGAGTGCCAGATGGGCACCCTCCTCTTGTATCAGAGGACTAGGAGGAAGAAGGAGGAGGGCTGCAAAGGTGCATTTCAAAGAGCAGGAGCCAGGGTGGCTTCTGGAAAACGCCTTGCGCTCTCGGCTCAGGGGGAACGCGTTACCCCGAGACTGGGCACGGGTGCATTGTATCATTGCTTCCTCACAGGCGCAGTGTTGTTGTTGGTGCTGGCTACATTGCAGTAGAAATGGCAGGGATCCTTTCCACCTTGGGCTCCGAGTCCTCCTTGCTGATACGTCACGACAAGGTACTGCTGTTGGCCGTGCTCCCCGCTGCTCCCAGCCAGCGGCAGCCTCGTGGCCTTTGAGGCAGAGCAGAATTGCTGGGTGTTTCCTGGGCATCAGGGTTTCTCATGTGAATGTGGGAAGAGGGGTCTGGATGAGCCTGAGAGTCACAGTCAGGTGGGTTCTTCAGCATCTGTGCAAGCTGCAGAGTTACAGGGTTCAGTTGGAGAGAGCTGGAGAGGAGAGACTTGTGCATATTTGCTGTTTTGATACCAAACAGGAACGCGTGGAGCTAGACCAGAGGGGAATGGCAAAAAGCAGGCGTGCTGTCAGATGGGAGGGCTAGTTACTCCTCTAAATTTTACGGCAATGATTAGGGAAATTCAGAGCATCAAAAAGGTGAAAATGGAGATGTAGATGAACATGTCATTAGCTATTCAGTGGCCCTCAGTGGAGTGAGAGCCAGGCAGGGTGTCTCTGGGAGGGCAGTAGAGCATAGATGTGCTGCCAAGTGTGTTTCTGCAACACTAACCTGTGCATAGAGCATCGAGGTAGAAGTGCACACTGCTGGCCCAATTCTCCGTAGCTTTATTTCAGAAGGAAGGAAAGCAAACAAACAGAAAAACCTGCAGCATGAACCAGAACCAACACATCTGTGAGTCGATGGGGCAAGAACATAGTTAGACAGCGGATGGGACTGTCAGCCAGTGCCTCTGCGTGTGGATTGTCGTCTCAAAGTGACGTTTGGCTTCCTGCCCAGGTGCTGAGGACGTTTGACTCGCTGATCAGTTCGAACTGCACCCAGGAGCTGGAGAACACCGGAGTGAACGTGTGGAAGCACGCGTTGGTATGGGCTTGCAAAACTGCCCTTGTGTGGCCGTGCTGCTCGTGAGGCCCGAGGAGGAAGCACCGCTCATGTGCCAAAGGAGAAGCCTGCGCTCTGTGTCCTGCCTGTGGAGTGAGGGCTTCGGAGCCCTTCGCAACCCTGGCTGCGCTGTGTCACCCCACACACCTTGCAGGAAGGAAATTGGCCCAGCCTTTGTCCTGCTAGTGGTGACAGATGAGCAAGAACATGAGATAGCAAGGAGGTTTTTGACATCTCTTAGTTCATGGGGAATATGATTTCAGCTTCCTCTGACTAAACTGCGTGGGGTCTTTCAATGAGTAGATGCTCATCCCTGGAAGCCATCAGCACCTTCTGACCTTGTCTTCTGGCTGTTTATCTCCACAGGTGAAGACAGTTGCAAAGTCCCCAGGTGGGCTGCTGGATGTGACTGTGACATCCTCAGCGCCAGGCCACAAGCCAACGGTTGGAGTGATACGGGATGTGGACTGCCTTCTGTGGGCCGTTGGGAGAGTCCCAAACACGGAGGGGCTTGGCCTGCACCAGGTGGTGAGTTCCCTGTCCTTCCCTGTTCTGGGGATGCCAGCGTGCAGTGTCCCAGCCCTGCAAGGTCCCTCGTCCAGCCGGAGCTCATAGCAGCATTTTTTTGCCTGCCGTGCCCCCGCACTGGCTCTGAAGTCGAGCCAGGTCCTGCTGTCACTGGCACAAACACTCATTGGTTTATGCTGCATGTATAGAGATTCCTGGTGGCTTGTACAGGCATGAAAAGTCTGTGCATTTCTGCTGGGCTCTGTTCCTGCAAGGCTGATCCTTTCAAGTGCCACATGATTCCCTGGTGCTCTGTGTGCGCACCAACACTGTTGCTGTTTCCAATGGCAGGGTGTCGAAGTGGACGCGAAAGGTCACATTGTGGTCGACGAGTTCCAGAACACCACAAGGAAAGGGATTTATGCCATCGGGGATGTCTGTGGAAAAGCACTCCTCACGCCAGGTAATGTGTTGGTGTCACCTTGCTGTTCCCTGGAGAGGAGGTGCTTACTTGCCTCACCTTACCTGGTCAGCAAGAGTAGGACCCCAAGAGCCTAAAACTGCAGGGATTTCCTCGTGGTGACAGAGCCAGACAAAGATGATCTTGCAAAGAAGGATCGCTTCAGCAAAGGGTAGTCTCTTCAGCAGTCTCTTCAGCTTCCCTCTGCATAAACTCGCTGTGCACGTGCATGTCTGTGTGTGTGCCTGTGCCTCCATGGTCATTGCAGCCGGGTTGCCCTCAGCCCGAGCGGTGCCTCAGGCTCCGTTTCTCTCTTCACAGTTGCAATAGCAGCCGGCAGAAAGCTCATGCACAGGCTCTTCGGAGGTCAGGCAGACTCCAAGCTGGACTACTCTAACATTCCCACTGTGGTCTTCAGTCACCCGCCCATTGGGACCGTGGGCCTCACCGAAGGTAGGGATGGGATGGATGTGCTGCTCTGACTTCAGTTCCCTGCTCAGTGTTGACAGCTCTTCGAGCCCTCATTTTTAAAGGAGGAGGGGATAGAATTGCCTCTGGACACCACATTGGAGGAAGATGCTTCAAGGTTGTTGCTTTAATAGCATGTTCGACTCAAAAGGGATCTGATTTTTCTGTGGAATGAGCTCAAATATTGGCTTGAGCTTAAGCGATTGTCAACAGATGTAACAGGAGGCCGACGGGGATCTTGCTGAGCAATTCCTGTTCCCTATAGTTAGTGCTTCAGCTCACACACTCACAGGAGAGAGCTGGGAATTTCTTCCTGGACATGCTTGTCTTTTTTAGCCAGACTGTGGCTTGTCTTTTATTTCTGGAAGCCCCTTGGGAAGAGGTGAGCTGGTTGCTGCAAAGCGTACCTGTAACATGGCAAGGGGAGAAAACTTCACATTGAAGAAATGTAAATGGTTTCTTGTAGACTACCCTTGCTGTCCTAAAAACACTACTGTTTTTACTGCTGCCATTTTGTCTTGTACAATTAGATGAAAATAAGGATGCTATCTCACAAGAGAGTACCTTGGGGAAGGTCAGAGATAAGCTCCTGATAAAGAGACTTGGTTTTCAGGCAATAGCTGCTGGGTATTTTTTGGAAGTCTGGGGTCTTTAAACCGCTCCGTGAGAGTCCATGATGCTTGCACCAATAGGCTTTTATTGCTTAAGGAAACGTACTTACCTTCAGAAAGCTGTCCTCAGTCCGAGTCTTGTAAGATGCTTTTTGACTCATCTTTCCAAACACCTCCATATCCGTCTGATGCACAGTGTCTTCTGTTCCAGATGAAGCCATTTCTGTGCATGGGAGAGAGAACGTGAAGATCTACAGCACTTCATTTACCCCCATGTATCATGCAGTCACGGAAAGAAAGAGCAAGTGTGTCATGAAACTGGTTTGTGCTGGCAAGGAGGAGAAGGTGCGTGAGGGGCTGCGGGATCCATCTGAGTGCCATGGGGAGGCGGCTGGGGTGTCCTTTAGCCCTCAGCCATGTGTGTCCAGCTGTCACCTGGAGTAGCATGGTGGCCCTCCCAGCGTCACTGCTGGGAGTACTACTGATTTGTAATGTTCTCCCTGGATCTATGCTCACTGCTGGCCTGTTTCAGGGCTGGAAGGCGTCCAAGATCTGCTCTGACCTGCATGGATTAGGCCTGAGACTTGGATAAACCTACTTTCACACCAGACATCTGTATTTAGTCTAGACTGTGCTGGAGAATAGAGTGTTTTCTTAGAATCTTAGTAGGAAATGTTTGCTGGCTCCCTGAGGAAGGGTTGGATACGGTAAATGTTTCTTTTCCCAGTTCCCGGAGATCTGGAGTTTACCCTCTTTACCCAGGGCCTCGAGCTGAGCAAGGCCTCTTGGCCAAACTTCCATGTGCAGAGAGTGAGGCAAAAAGCAGGGCTGTCTCTCCACAGCTCCTCCTCAATCTGCTCTCTCCTTTTCCCTTCCAAGGTGGTGGGATTACACATGCAAGGCCTGGGCTGCGATGAAATGCTGCAGGGCTTTGCTGTGGCCATCAAAATGGGAGCTACCAAGGCTAATTTTGACAGCACGGTTGCCATTCACCCCACCTCTGCAGAAGAGCTGGTGACGCTGCGCTGAAATGGTGGCCCCGAGGAGCCTGAGACGTCAGCTGAAGCACAGGAGGCAGCTGCCTTCTCTGGGCAGTGCATCTTTGTAATCGGACACCCAAATTCTCTCCCTTTTTCCTCTTACAAATCATTTTCCTTGGGGGTCAGGAAAAGTTTTTAGGTATTGCAAAGTGCCACAAGGTAAGTCAGCTGCCTGGAGGGCAATGTATCCATCCCTCAACTTAGTGTGGCTTGATTTGAAGTGGAAAATAAACACAGTTAATTCTGAGAAGGGCTCTGTCTTTTGCTTTATTTGTCTTTGTGGTTATTTTCCCCTGCCGAGTCAATCTGCAGAGGGAGGGGGTGACCCGATGGCACTGTTTGGGTTGATGCTGTTGATCGCAGGGCTCTTCCTTTATGGTCCAGTGGGACCTGCTCGCTCCGAGGCCTTTCCGCAGACCCTGTGTGGAGCCCACATCCCCCTCACAGCATCGTTTCTGCCTGCTGCTCCTTGGCTGTGGGTGCTCAGCACCTCTGAAAGCTCGCTGCAATCTCAAACTGGCCTCATGGCAAAGCTGGGAGCAGAATTAGGTCTGAGCACTGGAGCTTGCTAAGAAATTGCTAGCTTCTGTTCTCTTTTTGCTGGAAATGAGCATATAACCTGAAACCAAAACAATAATCTGTCCTTAAGAAGAAATTTCCTAACTTTGCATTCAAAAACTCCCTGAAGATCAATCCTATTCTAATGAAAAGATCCCTAGCAAAGAAAATGGATACTGATATTCGGCCTTGTCTGTGCGAGTCTCTAGGCTTTTCCCTTCTAGGTTTTCTAGACAGCCAAATGACCTGGTGCTTGTGTGAGTGTTGGCAGGAATCGCTCCTCACCTGGTGCGATGATAGGAACTCATTAGACTTTCCTTCAGGCTCTGGCCCAGGCCTCTGTCTTTCCCATGTCACTATTTCCGTGCCAGCGCTGGAATGGTGACAGGTTTGGGCTTTCTGCCCAGATATGTTCTGGCTGGAACATGGGAGCAAAAGTCCTTGGAAAAGCCTGAGGGAAGGGTGTGCACACGCACAGGCCACGTGGCTGAGCCCGCGGGCTCACGGGGCAACCTCTGCTCCCTCGCAGTGCCACCGTGGAGCTGCGCAGTGTCCTGGAGAGGAAATTCTTTGTGAACCAGCTCCTGAGGGCTGTAATGGAAAAAAACAAAGGACTTCGGAAACAACTGAGCCAGGATCAGCTCTGCCAAGCCTGAGGCAGATGACAGGCTGTGCTGGAGCCTCTCAAAGTACATACACTTGCTTTGGATCTGACTTCTGCTTTGCACCTGCTTCCCAACTCGTGCTTGAGCACGAGGGGCTTTCATGCCTTTCGCAGGTGCCCATGGAGCCTGCTGGGTGCTCTGCTGGGGCTGCTGCTTGGTTGAATTTCTCTGCAGACCAGCTTGGCGCAGTGCTGAAGAGAGAGGCACACAGATTAGCTGACACTGGGGATGCACAGGAGAAGGCAAGAGGCTTCCCGGGGCTGCTTTCCCCCATGGGCACACTGCACTGGTGCCAGGTGCCTGTACGAGGTGCCTTCGTCACAGCCTGCCCACCTTGGGGATGAGATCCATCCGCAGAGAGGCAGAGGAAGCGTTTCCCACTCTTGTGCTGCATCTCTGGGCGCTGGCCCCCAGCATCTGCATCGTAAGAGCCCCAGAGCTGCTTGCAGAGCCACAGAGAGCCCCACGGTGCTGGCAGACCGTGGGGCCACTTGTGCCTGTGCCATGCCCATGGTTTCTCTATAAGCCTTTGCTGACCCTGATGCATGGCCGTTTCTCTCCCAGCACCTTGGGCATGTGAGCAGTGTCCCCTGACAGTGTCCCCAGCTCGACCAAGGTAGGCCCTCTCCTTTTCCCTGTTGGCTAAGGTACTCAGAAGTTACAGACTTCCTGGCCCGCCTAACGTATGGTGCTCCTTGATATGCTCCGCCTCCCTGGTCATGCATCGCATGTCTAATTAAAGTAACTTTATGGCTACCCTGAGTGTGAAAGTTAATATGCATTAGCTCATTACACTTGCGCCAACGCTACTAAGGTTCATTCTGTGGTCACTTGTTGATAAGGATCTCTCTCCCGAGGTCAGCTGCACCCAATCACATATGCACAGCACGACCTCCCTGCCTGTACTCCCTAGTTCGATTCACCAAAAAATGTGGAGTATTTCACACATTTGTAACGACCGTGCCAGGCGAGAGGTGACGCTGGGCTCTCACGCTGCTCCCAGCCGTGTCCTGGGGTCACGGCTGGGGTGTGGGGCCACGTGTGCAGCCCCTGTCTGCGCATGGCTGCATCTGAGCTCATGGTCGTGCCTTGGTGACTGTGTTTCTCCACGTGCCAGGTGTCCTCCTGCACATGGTACCCACTGAGTGGCTGCAGCAGTGGGACCTGGTGTTCTCTTTGGAGGTAGGTGACATTGGCCAAGCTGCTGCCCTGGGAACCGGAAAGGCGTCAGAAACCCAAGCGACGTCGGGTCAGGGCTTCTCGTGCCAAAAGCATAGCCCATGGGGAGAAGGGACTCTGATAGTCCCCAGACTGCTGGTCAGAGGAGCTGGCCACAGAGGGGTGCTGCAAGGGAAATACGAGTCTTGCTGTCAAGAACCAAATGTCCACAAAGGAGACAGAGGAATCCTGAACTTTATCTGAATAAAGGGAGAGTCCACTGGCGCATACCACTGTGGGGTCTCCCAAACTACAGGAGAGCACAGCCTCTTTTTATCCTAATTTCCCGACCAAGGTAGGCCCTCTCCTTTTCCCTACTGGCTAAGGTACTCAGAAGTTACAGACTTCCTGGCCCGCCTAACGTATGGTGCTCCTTGATATGCTCCGCCTCCCTGGTCATGCATCACATGTCTAATTAAAGTAACTTCATGGTTAACCTGAGTGTGAAAGTTAATATGCATTAGCTCATTACACTTGCGCCAACGCTACTAAGGTTCATTCTGTGGTCACTTGTTGATAAGGATCTCCCTGCCTCCCTCCTGTTCTCTCCCGAGGTCAGCTGCACCCAGTCACATACGCACAGCACGATCTCCCTGCCTGTACTCCCTAGTTCGATTCACCAAAAAATGTGGAGTATTTCACACATTTGTAAAGATACAGGCTTCTGACATCACTTGTGCCTCAGTGGCTGATAGGACCATGCTGGACAGGTGCTGGTGCTGCTGTGAGGTCAATTGGGCCGGAGAGACTGCTATGACAGA